AATATTCTGTTTTCCCACATGTAAAATCAAACATAATAATTCTTGACAATAAAAATGTATGGATAGCAAAAGCGTGTACCCACGGAAAGACACAAAATATGGGAATGATTCAACATATTATTCTATTTTGTCAGAAAATCATTATACAATTGTTATATCTTGCATTCAGATCGACTGCATGTTGTTTTTATCATCAGCGTATATTTAATTTTTATCTTTTATATTAACTGTAGATGTAATTAAAAGGTTGCTATACCTGACACATTAAAGGTAAACATCCTTTTGTCCTCTGTATAAAAACCTTTTGTAATACTAAACACTTTGATTCTATGGCCAGTCCAAATACAAAAAGTTGCATCAGAAAGTGTAGGCATAATTAATTTAAGTACGTAGGATATAAACTATTGGTTTTGCATTTAAACAAAGATTTGGTAAATTCCAGTTTGAACATGCAATTAATTCTTAGTTTCACAATAAATTCAGTCAGTATAATTTTTTTTTAAACTGATATAATTTATGTGAATGTGGATATTTCCTTTTGTGTTTGATACATTTATGTTATAAGCCTGTCTAAATACAGAAATTTCTTTAGAAATAAATTGTGTATCATATTTAAAGATGTATTGACCCTTGCTAATCTCAAAAAATCATAAAAAATAATTTTGAAATGAACTTGCTCATTTTGCAATAACATACAAATGTTCTTGTGCATAGAAATTATTTAATTTAAAAAATATGTACCCTGATTTTTAAACCAGAAAATTATAATGATGATACCGTAATAAAACACTTCCAGTGACTGGAAGTGTTTCTATCATTTTTCACGGTAAACTGATGGGTAGACATTTTTGAGTAACACTAATTTCTATGTTCAAGTTGATAACCTTTATAAGGTATTTCAAAATGGGCAGGTTAATTTAAAAAAATATTTGTTTTTTTTTTTCCTTTGTTGAATCGCAGCACTACTTGTATCCCTTTGAATGGCCATAATATGAGTGTTTCAGTAAAATGATAAATTTAGGAGAGTAAAGTTGGAGAATTGTATGAATTTATATATCATTTATTTTGCCAAATATAAGAACAAAAAGGTCTATGCGACAGGATTGCCCAAATTCAGATGACTTACCATCGAGGGGCTCCATAGCCCAAACAAATATACAAAACTGTGGAAAAATTCAGGGGTGGGAATAAAAATCGGTCAGAGGCCCAAATTGAATTTTTGATTTAACACTGAGTGCCACACCAAACGTTTTTTATTTCCAATGAGCTTCCAAAAACCTCCTAGCACTGCTTTGGCACCACTTTATTCTCATTTTTAATGTTATTTTAAATATGATCAGTGTTGGGCCATAAAAAACAAAGTTGTTTTCTCTAGCCAATGTTGCTTGGCAGGCCGCACGAATAGGGTTTTTAATCCATTTTCACGGGCTGCAAACAAATTTCTATCAGGCCTCTCTTTGCCCACCTTTATGTTTATGTTAAAATTATAGACATTTTGAGATAAAAACAATAAGAATATATTGCAAACAAGTTTCAATTGACATAATGTAGCTTATCAAGTTCTTGTGCCTTTGTAGTCTCTACATTCGTTGTGGACATAGGTCTATATAATAAAATATGTGCATGACTAGTTTATTATGGCAGAATAAATTTTATAAAACAATAAATTTAAAAAAAAATTCTTACTTTGGAGAAGGTTGTTCCCAAACCCACCCCTATTCAGTGTGGGATGACTATGATCGTGGCCACCTCCCCCCCCCCCCTCTCCACATCAGTAAATTCTATATCCGCCAATGTGATATCTAGCTGCCAGCAGTACATTCAAAAGCACACCCACCATCATAATCCATTTTTATGTTATTTATAACAATTAATTTTTTTTTTTAAATACTGTAGGGTTTAAATCATATGTATGCCTATGAGATAGGCCTACAATCATATCTGATTTCAGTATTAATACATAGTACGGCTACCAAACACTTAAGTACATGTACATAAAAAATCATAGGCCTTCTAATCCAAGGTCGAGGGTTAAATCCCTGTGACAGCAGGATTTTTCAAGACTAATACCCGATTCACACGTACAAAAATCTTACCAAATGTAACAAAATGTAACCAAAAGTAACATTTTACGGCACGTGTGAAAGTACCTCCGTGTAATATCCTGGTAAAATCTCGGAGCGTCTCGGTAATCTTTACCAGCCTCGCTGAGGCTGGTAAAGCTTCCGAGATGTAACATGGATGGATCTGCGCATGCGCAGGGATTTCAACACAACAACAATCTACTGTTAATTTTCTTCCTTCTGCATACGATTCTGTTCCACTAGAAATAGATAGGACTAGTTTTTCTCAATGATGTATGAATTACCCTTGTTATTGATGTTAATTAGTAATGGTAGAAGAAGAAGATTTACATAAAATGAACGTCGGGATGGTGTTAGTACTATTACTAGTATTTAAAAGAGTCGACAGAAACGTTGGAAGTTATGCCTAGTTTAGTAGTAATAGTACAGCAGTTGTTAAGGGTATTGATTGCTTCGAATGTTTACTGTGATGGTGAGTTCAACAGTCCATCTGTGACAGGGGTTCTCAACTAGGCCTAGGCTAGACCTATATCGCAGTAGGGGAAAAAATGGTTCATTGAATAAACACTAAATAAATTTTACACAACCTTGGCATTACCTTACAGACACGTGTGAATGCTTTTTATCTCGGTAGGAATAACTCGGGAGATCGCTCGGTTACAATTTGTTTAATTTAACTTCACGTGTGAATCGGGTATAAAAATCTCCACTCCCTAAACAAAGAGACTTGTTTTATAAAGCATAGTCCATCCTGTAATTGGCGGGTTAGTTGCTGTTGTAATTGGCAAGTTACTTTCTGCTGGATGCGGAAGGAATGAATGAATTTTTGAATGAATGAATGAATGAATGAATATATTTGTAAATAATTGTCATCATTTCTGTGAAACTAAATACTGCATTTGGTTTAAAAACTGTCTTAACATTATATAATGTCTTTTTAAGGATGTCAAAAAAACTCATCGTTTAACTTCGTCTGCCCAAGCAAATCATGTGTCATTATGTCTCCTAATTACCCATGCGAATATGACGAAGACACGGTCTACAACTGGACGTTTAATACTTATCCTGGACGATTTCTTGCAGTCAAGTTTCACGATTTTGATCTTGAAGAAAACTCTGATTATGTTTCTATCATGATTGTCGGGGATGAAGTTGGAAGATACACTGGTTCAGACACACCATCAATCACAACATCCTCAACTAATGAACTGACTGTTATTTTTCAAAGTGATGAAAGAGGAACACGTAAAGGTTTTGAAGCTGAAATACTTGTTCTCGGAGCCAGAGGTAGGTTGTCGTACATGATATGTAAATATAATAAATATATATACATATAATATAAATATATATGTATACTGTAAAATTATTAAAGTTGGTGAGGGGGTTGTAGCTATGGTTCGATCCAAATGCAATATGAGACGTTGATGTGTTAGTGTGAGCACTTCCAATATAGTACAACAGTAAGTAACAATATGCCGCAAGCCTTATTCAGCTTTTCAACTAAGCTACTGCACACATACCGTACTTGCGTGAATAAGCGCCCGGGCGCTTAAAATAATTATTGCACTTTCTGAGGAGCGCTTATTCAAACGGGGCGCTTATGAAAATAGAGTGGAAATTGAGAGGGCGCTTATGGAAATAGATGAAAATCGAGGGGTTCTTATGGGAAATTATTAAATTCAAGAGGCATTTTTTGAATGAAAAAAGATTATATAAGGACATTATGAATGGTGAAAAAGATAATCCTCCAGAGAACATGGCTCATGACAAGAATGCGTGAATATTTACATAACAGCGAAATAGCAGATGCAATTAGTGGTGGTGGGTAGTGGTTAGCTTGTTGGTCATTGGCCGATTGAGATTAGCAGGATGGCAGGACCAATGTATTTTTTCTTGAAATCTCAGATGAGAATGTGCTGAAGGTCGGAAAAAGAGGAGTAGGACTAGGCATAGACATATGTAAAAAGAGTAAAGTTGGAAATATACTATCTGTCCATGGATCAGAGCTCTCATCTGTCCAAGAGATATATCCTCATTTTGATACTGACCTAAGAAGAATATGTGTTTCCACTCTGCAGCTCAAATCATGCCAATAACCACAATCACAGGATTGATTGGATTATTAACTTGCTAAAAAGAAAATCTTACGATATTATTGAGGGGGCGCTTATTCAAATTAGAATGGGTGCTTATTCAAACGGGGCGCTAAGGAAATTTTCATGTTAGGAGGGGCGGTTATTCGAGAGGGGCCCTTATTCAAACGGGGCGCTTATTAGCCTGACGTGGAATCCAGTGTCACTGCCAGACAGAGATTAAAGGGTTGAACTCTATTATCAACATGTTACATAGGAAACCTGGAGTTAGTTGATTAATGCCAGTAGGTAATAATAGTCATAATGTCAGCCAGCAACGACTCACTGGAGCAATATGCTCGTCATGAAGGTACCGTACCTTTCCTTGAAAAACTTACAGGCTTTATTCCCACTATCCATTGGAGCCTTACCAAACCAAACTGATAAGTGATTTACCAAATTATAACTCGCATTCCAACCAACATTTACAACATCTATGATGTGACTTACATCAACAACAAGGCGAAGCAATATTCAATGTACTGTCGCCCGCGATCTCGATAGATGTAAACAAACCCTAATACCCACTATAAGTCACGTGACCCGAGCCGCCGATTCGGTCTATTATTTAGAGTCCATTCTGGATTTTTTGTAAATTTTTGTTTTCCAAAGATTGTACATGACATTTTGTGAGATTAAAACAAAGATCATGTGATACAATGTAATCATTGGCATAGGCAATAAGTTTCTGAATCCTGGTCACTGTTAAGCTGGTTAATAAAAATTCGTCTGTGTAGCAGAATACATTAAATTTAGCTTTGGCAACAGTGATACCAAAATCCATATTTTGGAAACCTGTTACAAGATCTTTGTAAAAAACATTAAAAATAAATGGAGATGACAGGCCACCTTGAATTGTGCCTTTATGGATTGCAAAATTTCTACAGGTTGTGTTCTTCCACTTAACGCTAACAGAAATGTTAGCGTACCACACTTACATACATCGCCACCAGTCATCATTTATAACTTTATTAAGATGGATCAAAATTGACGTAAAAACATCAAGTAGGCACAACCCAAATAGTTTAGATAGAGCATTTGATAATGGATCCATAATTTGCAGTACTGCTACTTCTAGATGGATCTAGAATGTTCTTTTTGAGAATGGGGATTAGAGTGCCCTCACAAAACGTTTTTTGGGACATCCCCCCCCCCCCATATTTACAGTAATGCAAATATTCAATAAGTTTGATATTATAAGTGGTAGATTGGAGCCTATACCGGTACCTAAACCATATTTGAGATGTTAGACAGAAATACCTTCAGGTCTAGGGGCTTAGTTATTATTTAAATTATTAATATATTTTATAATATATGACGTGTAAAATAGACTGAACTGAACAGAACCTCTTTCACGCTGTTATGCTTTTATCGACAAAGACCTCAGCTTCCGTAATTAGATCAGATGTTGCATAAAACTAACTTACGAAAAAGTCAGGGAGTGTAAAGCTGGTAATGGACTTACGATAATTAGTTTTAATATTTTTCTTTGATACCTTTCCTAAATTTCTGAGATTTAACTTGTCTTATGGCATTTCTACAGCAATTTCTATAAACTTTTTCGGCATACTTGTAATAGATGTAAATATATCCAGAACATGGTTTTTGACATTGACCCCATATACAATACCAAAAACGTTGCCTATCTCTAGCAATTGTACAGTTATTATTCCACCAGTGTGATTGTTTTGTATATCTTTTAAGCTTAACGTTATTATTACAAGATTTCACAGAGTAGTGTATAATACCCGCAAGCTTATCACATAGAATTTACATATATTTGAGCATCATCAATATCGGTAAAATCATGGTTATATACTTTAAATTGTTCAAGAACTAAGAGTGAGTTTATCTGCAAAATTAACTCAAAACGAGTCTTTTCCAGTCAGCCTTTGGGAACGGAACGTTTGATTTGTAATCTGCCTCAACGCTCACTTTGTATGGGAAACCTCAATTTATATTGAGGTTAAAATAGGTAGATGATCACTGGTATTATCAGGAAATTCATCAGAAAGTATAATACAAGATTTCATACGAGTATTCATTAATAATGACATGATTATGTAGATTCTATTGATTCCCTTTGGAAAATGTATAGTCAACATTCTGTTCCAAAGCAAAGTTACAGATAAAGTAATCATTATCACAAGTGAAGTCGTACAGCAGCATACTATTGGACTTAAAAGGGTGACGTTTAAACCAATTACGATTAATTTGATAAGAGTGTAAAAGAGAGGCGGTAAAATCACCTACAATCATCGCAATTATCCATATTACTCTGAAGTGATTAAAACTGGATAGGAATGATTGATAACCTTTTGAACCAAAGAATTTATCAATATTGGAAATTTCGTGCACACACAACCAGTGCTCAAAAAGGAATCAAATTAATATCACAAATACCATTATCAATCAGATTACTAAGTGAGTGTAAAGCACTATTTAATCCATAACAATTAAAAAAAGACAAAATATTAACTTTATTTTGACAGTCCATAAAATTAAAGAGTTCAAATTTTATCATGTAGCAAGAACAGACACAATTTTTCAGAACAGTTTTAGATTCTTGCACAGCTTGTTCTGCCTGTGCCATATTTGAAAGTCGACTTACTAGTTCCTTGAGGTTGATATGACCTGTTGTGACAATTGTTACGTCTGGGAATAATGTCTCTTGCGTTGATATTTTAGGGCCACAGTCTTTGGTTTACAACACAGAAGTCTGCCGGTGAATTTGGTCTATTTGTATTCCTAAGGGAGAAAACGTCAGCAACATTAACATGTCAATATGCCTCCTAATGTCCTGTACAGTAGTTTCTTGATGTAGACTATCTACGAAAACATGGAATAAAAGAGGAGGCCCTTTATAGGCCTTCAGTACATGTTGCCTTAATCTATGTCACTGTTGGTTTTTAAGGCGATTGTTTGCAAAGACTGTGTCTGAAATTTCCGTTACATCGTTCACCTCGTCAGGGTCCCTGTTACTTCCATTAACATGCTGCTTTACTTTGTTTGCATACAATGAATAAGAGGGTTCATCACTTACCGGATTGGTGGTAGGCCTATCTGTCGTTAAGGAGGGTTTCACATGTAGCCCTATGTATCAGTTACTGCTGGGGGTTAATATATCGACAGGGGTCAATATATCAACAACACATCAGCAGTATTAGAATCATTGCTGTTGTCATAGAAATCCTTATTTTGTGCAATACTTACAAGTTTTCCAGTCAGTGTTTGAACTTGAAGTTGTAGTTGAGAGACTAAGCTGGACAGTGTGCAGTTAGAATTTTAACGATCTCTCTCAACTGAGCATTCGATTCAATATTATCTCCAGGGTCAACTAGAAATTGACTCGATTCCACCAAAGTGTCATTTGCTCAAATACCGCCACCCACTATCATTATCATTATCAAATGATTAAACAAGTTAAAACCATTACGAATAATTTTGACAAATACTGTATGTTAAAAATATGAAAGTTTTCAACATTAATTATACACATTTGGGTACAGTAATTCCGTATCATTTGGTTGTTCATTTGGGTAATTCAGTATCATTCGTGTAACTGCGTATCATTTGGGTATCATTTATAATTCCATATCATTGGGTAATTCACTATCATTTGGGTAATTCTCTATCATTTGGGTAATTCGTCAGACCCCGTACAATGACAGAGCCAAATAAACAGTTGTTTGCGATAATACAATTCTCCCTGACGCTATATGATGAACTAAGGCCTTTGATAGCCAAAATTTATTATTAATCATTATTTTCCATTTTCATAGCCAGATTACTTTAGCTGGAGTTGCGCATGCTCAGTTGCTACATAAAAAATATTTTTCTCATTTCCATTTCACACCCTCTTCGCACATGCTATTTGGTATTTGGTCATGCTCAATGGTTTCACCAGACATCGTTTTGCTTACTGCACCCGCTCACTGTCTGTTCAGCATTTCCAAGCTCATGCTCACTGTCTTTTCGTATATATTTCCAAGACGTTCTTTAGTCTGCGCATGCACACTGATTAGTTCGGAATTCTTATTCCTCTCTAGTAAAAGCTACCGCTTATCTGCAGTATCTTAATGACTGTTTCCTCTTGTTCGTAGCAGCCTAAAGGTACGGCGCAAATAAACACTTAAGCATACTGGATATCTCAGTGAAAAGTATAACTATGTTTCAATCAAAACAGAAGGCTTTTGTTCGGATTTTGAAGATGGATTCTCTGGATGGTTTGATCCGAGAGATACTGTTGGATTTTGGGCTGCTGGTCAATTTGAGCGTTCATCAGAGGGAAACACTCGTTTTTCTGTTTACACTGGCCACTCAGCATCCTCAGGTATGAAACAATTTTTTTTTAATCAAAATTTAATGAACACGGTTTTAGATACTGACAGTGCTGGCTAACAGGGCCGCAGAGATTGGCACAGGGACACAAAATTTATTTTCTAGATAAAAGCAAAGATCTGTTTATAAACTTAATATAACATAATTACAATATAATAAGATCTTTGATTGGAAGGTATGAATCGGGATTATCCTCAAAGCCTCATCTATGGAGACAATCGACTGACAGTATTTTTCTAACCATGCGTAAAAATGTCATCGGTGGTGTACAGTAATAGGTACTTTTGAAGTTAGGTCAAGAACCAACAATAACTACTGTAATTTGTCTCTGGGTCAGGCTCCTAAAAGAAATAAGACAAAATTGGGAAAAGGTGATCCATCAAATAACTCGTTGACACACAAAGCAAAAATCGGCCAAGATAAGTTACAAAGCATTACAGATGAAATTAATGTTCATTTGGCTTGTAATTTTATAATTAGAAATAAAACAAATCTTATTTGACATGGCCATACATTATGTACACTTGCCAACTCTCACATATATATACCGACCGAGGACTTTAAGCCATAGCAGTTACACTACATATTCCATATGAGCATCGGTTGAAAATACTTGATTTTCCAACTTTGATCTATAGATGACAAAGAGCGGATATGGTTCGAGTCTTTCAAAAAATTAAGGGGTTTGACTCTATTTCAAGTGATGTGTTTTTCACGAACAAAGGGGTCATCAATACAAGATGAAATTTAGTAGTTCTAGGATTAATATTAGGGGGAATAGGTTTTCTAGAAGAACAGTCTTTCTATAGTGGAATGCACTTCCTAATGAAGCAGTGTTATGTTCCTCTATTAATGCTTTCAAATCAAAGCTCAATGAGGCATGGTCCAACCGTCCACTGAAGTTTGCAATGTATGCCAATAGTGACTATTTACAAGAGGGCTTTTAAGCAATAAGTACTTTGCCTCAGACCTGTACGTATCTACGGGAAACAAGTAAACCAGTAAATCAGTAAGCAGTTTCACTTCAATAAAAAATAAATAAAAAATAACATACTGTAGGGGCACTCTATTTCGTGATTTTTACCTAGAGGGTGTATATACAATATTTTAATTATTTTTTTGTCTCGCATATCACACACTATTAAAACAAAGTTTTGTGGTCAGCACACAGATTAGAACTTTATCTATGTGAGTTTGGATGTAATAGAGTCAATAGTAGCCTGTCAATAATACCACATCAGCGTTATCCAACTGTTATTGAATGTTAAATAGGCCTATTTAAATTTAGTCAATTACTAATGAAAACTGTATTGACTGTTCTTATTTTCAGATAATTATTACGTTCATGCCAATATAACAAGTAATGAAATTTCTACCCAATATTGTATCAGCAGTCCAGAAATTCCAGAGGCTTGGAGTCAATTTTGTGTACAGTTATATTATCATCGTCAATTAACATATAGAAATAATGTCCAATTCAGTCATGTTTATAACGACAGTACTCAAACCAAGTATATACATGTTGACTTTGACCAAACTGTATGGAATTACATTAATTGGACATTTTCCAACAACAACCCACCAAACTTTTTCCAGATAAATGCACTACTCGTCAACCAATACGATATATTAGCCGTTGATGACATTTACATAAGCAAAGGCAATTGTTCAGGTATAAAGAAAATGTTATAAAGATATTCTTCAATTATTGTTTTTATTTACTATACTATAATTTTATTTATTAATAACTTTGGACTCAACAACATACAAATGAAACACAGTTGATCAGTATAAGACAATGCTTTACTTTACACTTCATTAATTAGCCAAATTGTCACAAAAAGATATGCTTAAATTATGTTACTTTATTATTTTTATTATTATTATTATTATTATGATTGTATTATAATGCTGTTTATTGAAAACTTTGGACTCATCAAAGCTGGTTTTCCACTAGGCGAATTTATTTGCGCGAATTGAAAGCATCGTTCATGCGCATGCACATTTAAATTTCCATCGGAGTATTCGCTTTAGCAAAATTGGTAGTTAAAAGTGTTTCTACTTTTTGCGAAGCAAAAAATGTTCGCAATCAATCAGAGCTCAGGAACCAAACTGACGCCTTCGATTCGAGCTAATAAATTTGCCTAGTGAAAAACCGGTTTAAGATAAAAACTAATCTTCTACAATAATATACAAAGAATAGTAATATTATAAAAAGTCCAGTTCATGCTAAGTTTGAAATGTTCATTATTTATATTTATTGCATAATATGAGAAATAACTTAATGCTGTATCCAATTATTGTGTTCATTACATATCATTTTAATATACAGGCAATTTTGAAAGGGATATTAAAGAAAGGAGAATTTATGTATGAATGCAAAATATACCCTAAAACTTATCTTTATTTTCATGGTTACATCTTTTGATTTATATATATATTTTTTTGTTTTTATATTTTTTTTTTGACACTAGTTCCAAAGAGTGCATAAGCTAGATATGCACTATAGAAATTAAAGATAATTATTATTCCCATCTCTAAATTTAGAGATTTTTACTTTAAAAAAATAAAATATTTTCATGCATACATGGACATGCCAATAATGTAATGTCCTGCTAATATCATGAGCAACGAACTGTACACAAAAATATGTCAACAGAAGCACAGATTGCGAGAAACTCAGGCTCAACAGTACTGAACATACTGATAGAGAGCTAACTATTGTATATATTCAATTTTATCAACAGTTGGTTTTTAAAATATTAGTATAATATGAAATGTTTATACCAGATGATTGTTTGCCAATATGGTACCACTGAACTATCAACTTTTTCTTGATTTTCATCTGGTTCTGGTTTTTTCGGGTAAAACTGACCTCTTTTGGATAATTTTAAGTTAAGGATACACATATGTTAAACATAGTTGATATTTATAAAATAATTGTATTTTGTAGCAACTGACACAACCACTATTACTACTACTCCTGCCTATAGCCAACAGCCAGTGACTAAGGGTAAAGTTCATTTCAATAACTGTTATATTTTGAAACATAGCACAAGTTTTGCCCACAAATGACATACCAATGTGGTTTGGCCCAGTGAAAATAGTACATTTAAGAAACCTTACAAGTAAAACTAAACCTTCTACCGTACAGTACAACAATCAGAATGGGAGTGCTGAATTAATAGAAATATTACATCCACTAAGGCGCAAAACTATAGCAGACCTACACATTGGCATGAGACTGATGCATTTTGTGTCTTCAGACCAAAATCTCACACATAAATGTAACGTTTATATTAATTATTATAATATTTTATATTATGTGTGAGCTCTTCTTACTAAAAATTTTCCATCTACAGTTTCTACTTAAAATAATATAATCATGATACCGCTGGAACACTCTGAATGTGTCACTTTAAGATCAAGGAAAAAAAGCAGATCTTGAATACATTCTCGAGCAAGTCAGGAAGGGAATTGATCACCATACTACAGGGGGTGGGGGAATGACAAAAGTCTTGTGCCTGTGCTGTCTAAGTTGGAATCTGCTAGAGACGGCAATGACTAACACCTAATTGGTTGTTAATATCTTAAAGTAACTTACCTTGCCATTTACTGCATTTCTACAAATTTATTGCTTTCATGTTTGAACAAAAAGCGGAGTGTTCAGGTTCCACTACCATCAAATCCTCCCTGGTATCGCCACTGGATGGAGAGAACATGACAACATCTGGCAACTATTCCCAACCAAGAACAACAGATGCTCAGGGTATAGGTATTTATGAAAACATACTATTTATTTTAAACAATACAAAAAGCAGTTTGTATTGTGTTTCAATGATAGCCTCTAATAGATTATTCTTAAAAACATCATAATCCAACTCATCGCCACACTATATTGTATATCTATAATCTTTTATTACAGTTCAAATAACTTTACAAGTAGATAGACCAGAAGTAGTCAACGTTTCTCTGATGTCTGAAGAGTATAGTGTCACATTTAGCACTTCAGCAATTGACACATTGGAAGAAGGTACTTTATGTGGAATATTAAAGTGTTATCTATCGTTACTGACGGACACTTTCCAAAACTTTCAATTTTAATTTTCATAAAATATTTTATGCCACACTTAGATAGAATTGGCTGTTTCTAATTACATAAGCTGACATTCTTCATAATCTACATTAGGCTCTATACTGTATAATAACATTCAGAGAAGATAAGATACAGTAAACTAAATAATATCTTGAATTAATAAAACATTACATTTTTCATAACAAGTTGATTAAATTACTACCTTACTACCTTTAAAATGATATAGGGATTAATTGATCAATGTTAAAAAGCCCCATTCCTGGTAAAATTTCACTAAAAAAGATTTTTTTTAGAAAAAATGCATATGCATTATTCTAATTATTATAAACAATGGAAAAATAATGACATAAATTTTAGTTTTACGCAAAAGAATATTACCATTTTCTTGACAAATTCTTCGTTACTAGGCAAATTCAGAAGTTGTAGATCGCATCCGCTGGAATGCTCTCGCTTTTATGTATACTTGATACAGTCAATAAAGTGCGCCGTCTCTAATGAAATTAATTTTTTTACTTCGCATCTCGCACACTGTTTGTTTAATGTCAAAATCAAGGTCAGAATAATTTTTTTAACAGATTTTAAATAATTCCTATGAATTATTATATTTCACAAGTGTCAATACTAGCAACGGAAAATATCATGTCGGCCGTTTTCATGCATGATAACAGAACCTAAACTAAGGTAAGGCTAGGCCTAGCCTAGCAGTGTTGGATAGGGTAACGTTTCCGGCGCCTACTGTATTTCTTCGCAGACCTATCGCAAAATCAAACATAAAAAATATAAATTCATCTACATTTATTTTTTGTGTGGAACACAAAAAAAATCAAATTTAAATTTTATTTTACATTTTTTTCATGTTCATAGGAATGTCTAAATTTAGTTGAACTAGCAATTTTGTATTGTATAAAACTTTATAACATATACAAAAATCAGATTTTTCTTAACTGAAATTCTGCCGGGAATGGGGCTTTAATTGACAAATGTATGTTATAGTTGATTGACCAAAAGTGTATCTATCGTAATGATACATTGTCTAACATGTCCATCAGTAAAGATGTATCCATCTGTAACAAAATTTGAAATAGAAGCTGTAATTAAAATGTCAACAACAACTGTACAGTACATATACTTCTACCATAAATGCTCAGGGAGTTCAAATTTATAGTAAAAATGTTGTAAATTTGAAGCATGACAGAATATTACACCTAATAATTGCAATACATTTACCCATGCAGTTTATAACTAAATGAATATTTTTACGAATTCACGGAAAGTTATTATGTAAAGTCATTAAGAATAAATTAACAAAATACACAAATTTACATATTTATTTCTACATTGTTTAAAATAAACAGCATTTGTTACAGATGGACATATTTTTAATTTAATTTAAATGTCAACAAGATTGTTATTATTTTATTTTGTAATTTTGCAGCAGAGATACTTAAATATATTTTTTTAATTATGCATTAATGTAGAAGCATTAAAAAAAAACATTACAGTTCTTCAGTCTCCCAAATACCAACAAACATTTACCTTTTCATTTTCACTTGCTGATGTTGGAATACTTGCATAGAAATTAAACTGTCTATTGGCTCATCTATCTGGTTTTAAATGTTTAAATAAATTTTGATTGATCAAAACATTAACTAGCTTGGATTACAAATCAAATTGACTATTAACCTGTCATGTTTTGTTTAAGATGGACCATTCAGGATTGTTGCAAGTCTGACTCTGCTCAAGGAAAATTCCCCTATGGAAACTATGTTAGTATTTTCATTCATTCCAATATTATTCAATTCAATATTATTTATCGCCATATAAAATTTCCTTATTAAATAACGGTCAAATATATAATGATTAAAAAATTCACAAGAAATAGGAAAGGATCAAGACACATTTAGATCTAAAAATATATTATAGAAAGAAAGATAAAAAATGCACTCTATTGTACTATGGTATCAGTAGAACTTTTTAGTCTTTTTTTTTTTGCAGCAATGAAGAGGTGTTACCTAGTGTGACTGATATCGTTGATATTAGTATTTACGATAAAAATCAGAAGAATTTAATAAATGTAAACAGTAAGATCCAGTTTCCTATTATTAAGGTAAATATACTTTACAACTACATTTCAAAGCAAGAAATATAGAATAGAGTGGAATGAGTAAGTGTCGATAGTAACAATTAATCAATATTTATGTACAGAGCCCCTTACAGTATGTTAACAACCTTGAGGCGCTTAACAACATAATGTTGAAAATAAAAAGAAAACAAAGTAAAATGAGCAGCGATGCAAGAGATGGGTAACATTCAAATGATCTAAAAAAAAAAAAAACCAACCATGAAATTACCCTACACAATATAGCAAAATGGTGATTACAGAAATCTGCCAATAAGAGGTTTAACAATAACAAGGCCAACATTGGGGTCAAACTCAAGGGGCCGTCATGACCCTGGTCAGGGTCCCTTGCAAATATTTTGAGGGGTACAACACGTTAATTTTGACTTTAACTTTGGTTAAGCTCTGTCTAGACTATCAAATTATATTTGACAAAAACATGTGACATGCCTAAATATGGTCATGATGAGATCACATCATCACCATATATGGGCACATCATGATATGGGCATGGACCGGGCTTTAGTTTATTTTGACGGTCTCAAGTGGTGTCTGGAGAGATGGGTCCAACTAGGTGAGAGGAAGTTTCCCTATGACCCCTGACCCCAGATGGAGCCACCACCGGTGTAGTGAGTAAAACCTTGAATAAAAGCCCACTGCGCTTAATCTGGAGAAAAATTCCCATCTCGAATTGAATTATTAAGCACCCACTTCAGTTTGCAAAAGTAGCCTAGAAAAAAAGCCAATCCAAACTTCACATTCGCATCTAAAAATTATGTGCCACCAAACATTGATTGAATTTAATTTATGTTTTTCCCCACATCATAGACACTTGACTTAAAGGTGATATGTTCAGCTTCAATCATGGGTTTCCACACAGTTTGAATTAAAATATAGCCACTAATTGAAAATGTTTCTTTACATTTTCTAAAAAATTCAAGGATACGAAAGGCAATCTAATTCTAGTATGTCATCACACACCTCATTTTACTCAAGACACACCCACGTAAGTAAATTGTTAACTTTATTAAAAATTAAATATAAAAATAATAGTTTTATAAGTGATGGTGATTACAATGATAATGGCAATGTAAAAAAAAATTCATAAATTATTTCAAAAACAGCCTTCAGTCCTGTGTGTTTCAGACAATTTTGTCAGGGAATAATGGGTTCCTTCAGCCTCTATTTTCAGGGCCTCAGAACTTGACTACAATTTCATAATATTCTGGTTTTATACAGCACAGCAAGCAAACAAGTCCTGTAGAATTTCATTCTATTATCACAGATACCTATGGAACACATACTATCAATGTGTCCCCACTGGCCTCCCCCTAAATTAGAAATTTATGAATCAAAAAAATTATGCTCAACTACCGTAGTTAACAATAAAATCACCTCATACCACTTTATTTTGCCAACTATGGTAGCTACCCCTCACTTTACCATTCAGCCTCCAACATTACCTTCACACTCCTTCATCTGCCCCCTTCCCTTCATCAGCCCCTTCCTCCATTTCAATACCTCTAGAAGTGCCACTGCAGGGGTGTATCCATAATTTTTTCTGGGTGGGTCGTGATCATAATTTTTTGGAGCTTTTAGAAAATCGATTACAGCGCCACCAACTTAATGCAGATGGCAGGCTCAGTTTCAGAATTGCTGGAATTGAGATAGATTACGTCACACAATTGGCAAGGTCTTTAGACTCACTGCTGCCTTTGAAAAAAATATGGACCTTTGAAAATTTTTGGGAGTCGTACGACCTTCCGGCCCCCACCCCCACCTTGCATACACCCATGCACTGTTTTAATTCACGTAAAATATGTATGGCTGTTCTACAATAACTAAAAAATCATTACTGTTAATTCTTAAGTTTATGGTCACCAAACGGATGTGAGACTGTCTATGACGACTACCGTGTGAGTGGCGCAACGTGTAAATGTAATCACCTTACGTCATTTGTTATTCTGATGAAACCGAAGCAGGTAAATGTAAAGGTTTATATTAAAAGTTAGATACAAATTTATGGTAGATAACATCAAGGCTATGTAATAGGATCCAGATAAATAACATTTGTACTCACAGTTGCGTTCATACAAAAAAATCCCCAATCAAGATATCAAGATGATGGGGGATCACGGGACAATAGGAAAAGTGGAAATTAGAAATGCCCATGTGTGGAAACGCATTTAACTTGCACATCCTGGTAACGGTTAGCACTAACCAATCGGGCATTCTCACACGCATGCTACTGGTTAGAGCTAACTGTTAGCAGGTTCCCGATCTGACTCTGGTGTGAACCTAACCACTGAATGCTACCTTCTATTCAATTTTTGCATTCAGCACGATACATCAAACTTTATACAATATTTTTATAGATTAAGGAGAACAGGAATTTGTCCGTGATTACGACTGTTGGACTTGCAATTTCCAGTTTCTTTCTCATCATCACTCTCGTTATCATCCGCAGTTTCAGGTAAGTTAAAGATTTATGATATATATCATATATAGTAGAAGCGGTTGGCGCAACAGCTGTGGCTCGAACTCTCAATCTTGAAATCGGGGGTTTGTAACGTTCGCTGTTTAAGTTGCTTGTGTCCATAGGCAAGACGTTTGTCTCTCTCCACCCAGGTGTATAAATGGGGAATGGCTATGCTGGGAAGGTAAAATAGACTGCAGCGTTAGAGGAGTGGCGAACATTCTGGGCCAAACGCCAAGAAAAGAGGGACAGCCCTATTTATTTCAGATGTTGTTATGTCAGTCACAAACAAATTTAACCTCTCAAATGTTCAACGCTTTTCAGCTCCACCACATAAGAACAATCAATCAGTCGGTCAATCAAAAAATTCACCATTAGTTGGTTAAAGCAGTTCGTCAAAATTGAAATGTAAACAATGTTCGCATCAGTCATAGGCCAACGCGATTCTACCGAGAATGCAATGCCATGAGCTAAAAATGGATTGTTTTTATACGATTCGTTTACACTGCAATCCACAAGGAGCAGACGCCATCGCGTAGTCTAGCATTCACAGGGAGTGGTGTTGGATTCACCGCTCGAATGTTGTATGATGTAGTGAGTGCCTGCTTTACATTCATCATCATCTGCTGTGCCATTTCGTCTAAAGCTCTGTCTACAGTACACTATCAAATTTTGTGTGACAAAAAAGTGTGATATGCCCATATATGGGCATGATGACATCACACCATGACCATATATAGGCATAGCATTACTATATATGGGCAAGTCACATTTTTTTGTCAAAGAAAATTTGAAAGTGTGGATAGAGCTTAAGCTCGGTCAACACCATCAAATATTATGACTAAAAAATGTGATATGCCCATATATAGTAATGCTATGCCTATATATGGTCATGGTGTGATGTCATCATGCCCATATATGGGCATATCACATAAATTTGTCACTGAAAATTTGATAGTGTTGACAGTTTTAGGTAGACAAATATGTTCCTTTGAAGCCACATTCATTATCTTTTATAAAATCAAGAACAAAATTCATACTTTATTGATCTTGTAAATTTTATAGTCAAAATTACCAATAATTTAGCACCAACTTACCTAACAAGCAGATTCCATATTAAAGAATGTCCCTATGACACCAGATCTGAAAATCATTTAACACTACCCAAACCAAGAACAGATTATAAAAAACGTAGCTTATCATACAGAGGTGCTAAATTATAGAATGAACTTTATTGATGACCTCAAAAACTCAAATACAATTTCCAATTTTAAAATGAAAATAAAAATCAATGAAAGTATTATAGTTAATGATGTAAGTTTATTTACGATAATTCAGTTTAGTTAATGTAGTTAAGTTTCTTTCAGTAGGCCCTAATGTGATTTTCTTTTTTTTTTAATAAGTCTATTTTTACCTTTTTTGTTTTAATTTCTGTTTTGTTGAGTCGTGCAATGCCTTTACGGCCTTGTTGAAAAACACCATTGCGGTGAACAAGTGTTTCCGTAGTTAAATAAAGTTTTTATTATTATAATTATTATTATTATAATTTTAGGTGCTGGTTGGATACTCGGTCCCGAGCCATCTGGGCTTTCATTGCTCCTGTTTGTCTCACACTTCTGGTAATGTATTATTACCCAATCAAAATGGATATTAGAGCTACATACATTTTTAAATGTAAACACAATGTTTAATGTAAAATCACAGGGAGGGAAATACTATTATCAGCTCATATTCCAGACCCCTTTGTGTTGGGTTTCACTACGATTATTTTCTATAGGATAACAACAACATCAAAATTTAATATTCAAATGTTCATATTTAATAACTTTATATTGTTTATGTCCAACTTGGTGATTAAAGGTAGGAGAATAACTCATAACTCGCAGCATATTTTTGCTGATTTGCATACAGGTGAGTGCTACCTAACCACCATATAACAAGTGCTTACAATAGGTACATGTTCACATCAAATGACCCATAGCATCAAGGGTAACTCCATACTCTTTCCAAAAGACACAATGGGTTATTTAAAGTGTAAAAGCCAGTTGTGTACAATGGACCTGCATTTTAACTCCTTATCCCAAACGAACTTGGTTCTACCATCCGAAGCCTAATTTAGAATTTATGGACGTAGGATCGTCTTGGGCGCAAATCCAATGGTTGGGATACTTTTTGTACTACAGTATATGTTATAGTCTGGGCAATGAGGATAACATTGAAAATACCATATATTTTCTTTAAAAGATTGTCCTGATACAGTTGATGATTACTGGCTACGTAGCCTTCAAAAAATCCAAAGTACCGAACCTAACCCGCAAAGAAACTGAAAAACTCAAACAAATCAGGTTAGTTTAATAGTTCTATTCCTAAGCGTATGCATAAATTAAAAGTGCTTATTCCTTAATTTACATAATGGACTTTTCTGCTAAGTTCTGCCTTTTGTGTATGTACAGTAGTTGATAAGGTCCCGCAAAACAATATTAGGGAGCTTTCGATTTGTGTGACGACGCGACGCTAGAACAGAATCACTCATGCGTGACCGTCCTGCCCGGCATCCTACCTTATCTGCATATGTAGGTTTGGCCAAATTACGTTCCAGAATCTACTCGACGAGGTGACCTTGATGTTCTCGCATGCGCAGATGACTTTTAGTGACATCATTACGTTCTACGTCCTACCGTCGTCGTGCAATCGATGATGATCGAATCAATCACTGGCCAATAAGAAACTGGAAATTTTAAACGCGTACGTGTGATTGGTTGATGATAGAAACGCCCTCAACTTGCTAACCGATAGTGCTTGCTAACCGTTAGCGTATCCGGATACCGCTAACGGTTAGCGCTAACCAATCGAGGGTACTCACACAGGTGCTAACGGTTAGCGCTAACAGCTAGCTTCGGATCCGGATACTAGCACTCTCGTGAGAACCAGGCTACATTGTACTTGGTATTAACTGTTACTTCTTTACAAAAAAGGAGAAAACCTATTAAAATATTTAAGTGATCTCATCATATTTGGCTTAATAGTAGCCCTATGTTTTATGTTTAATTCATTATAAAAAACACTCAATATTCTTTTATCATATGAAATTTTTATATTTATTTATTTATAATTAGCCTGGTTAAACGAAGACACATTATTAAAGTTTTCTTCTATTAAATACAAATGTAAAATATAGTGTTATCATTTTGACAAGCATAATCTGCTCGTTCGCTGGAAATTTCTTGTTTGTAACAAAGTAACTAAGTTTATGATTTGTAACCTAAAGTTTATATTTATTTTTTTAAGAACTCTATTCGCTGGTATGCTTCTCCTTACACCAGCTGTTGGACTCTCATGGATTTTCGGTGTTATAATTGTCTTTTGTCATTCGGAGATGATGGAATATGTATTTGTATTCATAAATTCAATGCAAGGATTCTACATCTGGCTCACGCAGTGCGCCCTCAGCGGAGAGGTAAACCACCGTTGCTTAGTATTTCTCATAATTTGGTAGTTTTGTCTACACTATTAAATTATATCTGACAAAGAAGTGCTGTATGCCCATATATAGTCATGATGTGCCTATATATGGTCATGATTTCATCAGGATGTCCGATATGTTTTTTGTCAAATAAAATGAGTCTGGATAGTGTTTCAGTGTTTCCAATAATAAAGTTATATTATTATTTTATTAGTACTGTAGTCATGATGTGCCTATATATGGTCATGATGTGCCTATATATGGTCATGATGTGCTATCCTAATGACCATTAGGTTTGCTTTAAATTTTATTGCAGGTTCAACTTGCATTGAAGAAGAGGTTCAAAAATCGAACAGGACATGATATTAGCATCAATACTATCAGTAGCACTACAAACACCAACCGTGTTACAATTGAAGAGTTGTAGGACTTAACGTGTCAGGCTCCTCATCACCAACACCAAGACGTTTTGACAAACAGATTGAAAACTATACAATGCATTTTGGTTTATAGTTAAGTGATAAGTAATGCATATGAAATTGAGTGCCACACACATGCACATGTATGCAAATATGAATTTTTTATTTTTCCTAGATGACAGTAAATAAAAAAAAATATAGGATCTACTGCATAATATGCACTGAATAATAGTAAATCACAAGAAGAGTAACTTTGGTGGAGATACACCCCCACTGGTGTTAATGGATCATTCTGCTAAGCTCCCCCCTTGGATATTGTTGCTAAGGTCATACAAGACGGCCGTGTTAAAAAATACGCGAACACGTGCGTTTGTGGGACAACATGTGTGTTTGTGAAACACGTGCGTATTCCTAGCGCTGTTCTGATTGGTCAGTTGTTGAGTTGAGTTTGATTGACACTTCAGAAAGGTCAATTAAATGTCAATAAATATTTAGAAAAATGTAAGTCTCCATCAGGATTCGAACCCAAGACCTTCCTATTAGATCAAGTTGTATACACCCTTGGATTTTCCCTAGGACAATTTTTATACTTCTCAAGGTATTGCATAATACGCAATGAATAATAGTAATCACAAGAATTTAGTAAATCACAAGTATTATGTGTATTTATGCAATACCAATCCAAGGATGTTTTTCGTTCTTTTTGTACTAACTTGTATCATGTTACTCTATGATCATTACAAAAGTAAAACTATACATGATTTACAAGTGTGTTATAACAAACTCACTTTTGACATTTGTTACACAGACATAAGCACTGTAGTGCCAGTGGTAGTTCATTCCTTTAGGACTTCCTTCATTCAGGAAATGTATGCACAGTTTTTGGAGTCGGTAGCTTGTGTGACTCATTATGAACAATTATATAAATTCTTCTTTTATTTAAGCTATTGTATTAGCTTTGATATAGATACTTTATATTTATGACTGTTAATAAGTGTTGTTATTTATTTCATCAGTATATATGGACTGATATGTCTGAAATAAAAGTATTACATACAGTAACCCAAAAAAAGAAAGCACTATGATTTTTATAAACATAAACACGTCAGCTCAGTTAAAGCAGGTTGTTCGGCTGACCGAAGGGATTGGATTTCCTGGTAGCGACTGTGAAGTTGTGGGGCCTAGCCTGGGCCTAACTTTTTCTTTGTATATTTAGGCATTTTTAGACATGTAATTTTTAGACACTGTATACTGCATTAGTTAGAGCTATATAAAGATTAATGTATAAATTCTTATGATTGCTACCTATGCTAGATTGCCAAAAAAAATACAGACACAGTACTAAGTCAGGCATAGAAGAGTGTTATACTGTATACAGTACACAAAACCCTCTGATCAGGACTTGGCTTAGGCTAAGATGATCTACAGTAGCAATGGCGGATCCAGGGATTTGAAATAGAGAGGGGGGAGGGGCCAGGGAGTGACTTTCACAGACCACCTGCACCCCACCATGGTTGGGGCTAAAGTAAGAAAATTTATGATTACCGGGCACCATTAGATGGCCAGAAATGGTACTATCGGTCCTAAATTCGATTAAAATTTTCCTCCTTTCTCCATTTTTATTATAATTTGGACAAATTTAGGGGGGGGCCCACTGAGTACCGTAGGTCTTATGTGAGAAAGTGCTCTCATCTACTTACTCCTAGGCATTTATTTATTTATTCTTTCTTTATACTGAATATACACTTTCAATACATAGTACTGATTTCCAAAGTGGTTCAGTTCTTATCTACAAAAACATTTTAAAAGCAGAAAATAACAAAGAGAGCAAAAACTTAACTACAAATTTAAAAAAAATATATATATATATTAAAATATATATATATATATATATATAGGCATAAAACTAAGGTTATTGGTATACAGTATAATAATATTGTTTATATTTGGATCCAGACAATTCCAGTTTTCATAATACAAGAAATTCAGCAAAGATATATAGGCTCATTATATTATTATTATTAATAATAATAAAATAAAAAAATAATTCAGATTTTTTTTCCCTTATAGCACAATGGTTTTGAGATTCCTGCTCTATGGTATAACATTTTACAGATAAACAAGTTACATTATCTTTGCCTAGTACTATACAGGCATTTAACACGTGGGAATGCTATGTACAGTGGACAAGAGAATTGGCGAGTGTAGTAAAATGCCCAACCCCAGGTGACAAAGTTAATCGGTCTCCCTACCACCCCATAGTTATAAAGCATGGGTGCTAATTCTAAAGTACTCAAGCTGTAATATTTTGGTATACATACTGTAGTGCACATATAAACATGTACCAGGTTCTATTTGAATTAAAAATTTGTAGAATTAGATTTCAAATGTTGAATATTTTATCACCATTGTCTGTTGCATACAAATAGTGTACATCAAATGACAAACACCAATAAAATTGTGAAAATAATCGCCACAAGAATTGAAAAAAAGAAAATAGAAAAACAAATTGTTTACTTGTTGATATGGCAACCACATAAATAATTAATACAACTGATAGTCTATTATTAGGACTAATGTATAAATTTTGAAAATCATTTATCAATATTTTGAATTGAAGAAAAAAAAATCTGCAATTTATAGCGTAAAGTTAAATTGCAATAACTGGTATCACACGCAAGGTCACAAGATGATGGAGGATAGAAAGATGATGAAAATAAAGATGGTGACGAAGATGATGAAGATGGATATGATGACAATGATGATGAAGAGAATGATAAAGAGAATGAGAATGAGGAGAAAGAGGAGGAGAAAGAGAAGAAAAAGATGATGATGATAAAGATTATGACAATAAAGTAGATGATGATGATTATTACAAGATAAATTTTTCAGGTTCAAATCACCATGAAATGAAAAAAATCTGCTATTTTTATGTAAATATTAAATGTTTAAAAAAAATCAGAGTTTAGATTCTTATTGCAATTTTCATAATTTGGTTAAATGATTTGCCGTTATTTAAAATTCAATTCAATCTTTATTGTCAAACACTGTAATATACTGTATACTGTTTGAAATTCAGGTTGTTTGTTCACAGATTTAAAAAAATAAAAACATACGTATTGATACAATTGCATACTAAATACATAACCCATATATCACATCCTACCATCACATCACATGTGTTTGAACTTTATTTAATAGCATTGCAATGAATAGTGCCATGTATTTGTCAGTAAATTTAAAATTAATAGACAATAAAAAACATTTGCACGGTATACCCTGTTAGTCTTGTTATTCTACATATACTGCCAAAGACAAGCCAAACAACTCACTCCTTGCAAATCATGTTTTAGAGATAATGGCCAAAACATGCTGGAAGAAATGCTAACTTTTTGAAATCTATTTCATTGCACTAAACTACATGTAACTTGTTTTCACCATTTTCAACGTTAAAACAACATTTTTTAACATTTTGATGATTGTCTCTACCCGAGATATGCCCGAAATCGTGAACTTTGAAGTGTGATTTCTGAAATACTGTTACTTAAACAGCTGTATGTATAAACTCCTGTAACTTCATAACAAAATGTCGGATTTAAATGATTTTTTTACCATTTTATAGCCCTCATTTTCGACCCTGTATTAATAACTAAAAATCAATTTTTTTCGACGAGTGATTGGTTTGGCTTTTCTTTGCCACATGCAAGCGTGAGGCTTTTTTGAAAATCATCCCCCACACTCCTCTGAAATCTGGCGACAACACTCTGTGAAAGTGCTTTACTTAAATGCTTTACAACTAAAAATCTGTAACAAACATGCAATTTTTCTGGCAATAAATACTTTTCAGATCATCCATGAGTTTATCATGGTGAGCAGTGCATGGTAGATTGCTGCTTTTTGGATCCTATTTGACAGTGCTTTTTTCCACCACTAGGCTAACTAGTTCGCACTAGTTCACATTTCTATCAGAGTTTTTTGCTTCAACAAAATCAGTAGTTTAAACTGTTCCTAAATTCTGCGAAGCGAAAAATTGTGCAACCAATCAAAGCTCAGGAAGCGATCTGATGCTTTCGATAAGTACCCTGGCTCCTAGCTAAAATAACAATATTCTTACCTCAGAGAGTACCTCTTCTTGGTTTTTGTCACTGTTTCCTTTACGGTTTCTCTAGATGACGCGTCTGAACTCAGACTCCCTATTTAAGAATACTTATATCTCTAAGCATGGAGGTATAATATCAGCAGGGGCTTATACAACTAAATAATGTTTGAGAATAGGCTGATTAATAAGGATTTCTAGCTGCAGCTGCAATAAGCAATACTTCGGTTCGCCGTAATCTAGAAAAGTCGGGATCAATCAAAGAAATTGTTTGTCAATTTTAAAAACGCATCGCTTTGTGACTAGAGCCAACAGTAGATAAACTCTGGATAAATATCAAAACAATCTTTCAACTTAACAATAGAAGCTTAATTCGTGCTTTGTTCTAGGGGAGAGGCTACAGTGACCGTTGACCACGTACAAATCTCGTAATGACGATTTACGAAAATTTCATTCACTTCAATAATAAATTATACAACGAATAGAATGATAATTACTGTAATCATAAGATTATAACAAGCAATACGCAGGAATAGTTGAATCAACAACTCCCTAGTAACATCAGCTTTAAAGAAATAATGGCGAAGTACAACGAAGATTTCGTGGTGGGTGAGAAGTATGACAATCTATCTGATTTTAGCGATATCGATGAAGAGATGTTAAGAGAATTTGAAGAGGAAATTGTAGAAGATCAAGAGGATGATGATGATGACCGTAGTAGTTTTTTTTTATGATTGCTTGCGACAAAATTGAGTGCCCTGTTGAGTGGTACCATTTATCATGTGTTGGAATGGAGAATGGCAATATTCCCGAAGGGAGATGGATTTGTCCCACGTGCACAACACGAAAAACCTAAAAAAAAACAAATACAGAAGAAACGTAAACGTAAGTCGGTTTCTTATTCGTTTATAATATGGAAACCATTCCTAAAATTACATGGCCTAATTTTTTTTTAAATATATTTATTCAATGTTAGCATTTTTTCCGTTCTGTTGTGCCAGGGAGTTGTTATTTGTGCACATTGTTAATTTTCAAGTAATGTACTGTTAAGATGGGTTAAGCGGCGATGGGTCGATCCATTTAGAAGCAGGAGG